CTGTGCCCTCCCCAAAGCAGCGCTCGCATCAGCTCTTGCATACGGCGACGGAAAGAAGCTGTCGCAGAAAACACCGGTCAAACAAGCTGTCGCAGAAAACACCGGTCAACCGTTGCAAAAAACACCGGGCAACCGTCGCAAAAAACACCGGGTGGCGGTCACTGACGCAAAAAACACCGGTCACAGCTTGGAAAAACACCATACAACATAACTGTCTGGAAATACCCTGATTACTGTTGCAATTTACCCTAGTCCCTGATCCCTTGGACGACCATGAAATCCAAGCATCTATTTTGAGGATTACTTAAGGGAGTCTGACGGGCAAAACTCTCCTTGGCTTCCCCAACCTTTGTGGTAGTTCTACACTTTCATATATAAAACATTTTTATACATTTTTAACTGGCATTCCTGTGGATCACAGATCGACAGCGTTGGCAATGTATGTTTGAAGGTGCTTCACTTTTTTGCTGCCTTACCATTATGTATCGCTGCACGCATTCCCCCACCACCCCTGCCATGCCCTGCCCTGTTCTTGAATCAATGGCAGACCCAGTGTCCACCGCACTGCTGAGGATTCCCCTCTCGAAGTACATGTTGCTCGTGTTGAGAAGGTTTTCCTCAGGCGGACAAATTTTTTCCACAACCTGATTTACTAGTATCCTAGCATTCCTGTATTTACCAGCAAAATGGCGCATTTCAGGTGCTCGAGGCAAAAGAGTCCCCTATGCCAATCAAAGTTCATGGAACTATGACTCACCCTAACATATTGGTGAACCACAAGTGTGTCGACTCATACAAAAATAACCTTGACTGCACGGCGATGGCTGCAAACTCGAAGAATGACTTGTAGCATGCATGTTGTTTTCTGTATAAATAACCTAAACATCGACTTCTGTGAGATTCTCGTTGCACTCCTTGAAATGATCCTGGAAGTGGATGGCATGACCCCTTGGATGACCATGAAACCCGAATGCCAAACAGGTAGTGCCATCCACTTCCTGATTACTTCAGGGAGTGTATTTCCACTTTCCAAGTTTTCCAAATCCAATATTTTTACCATCCGCTTTGACTCGCCGTTTTCGACTCGCCAGGTGTCGAGAACCTCCTTGGCATCCTCTGTGAGCTCCGAAAGCACCTCCGTGTCGACTCTCTGGTCCAAGCCCCGGCCCAGCGCTTGGAACGTGAAGGGTCTGATCGATTTGGGAAGCGGGATGAAACCCATATGGAGACCGACCTCCCAGGCGTTCCAACCCGCCTGGAAGGTTCGGACAATAAACCGGTCTACCCATTGATTGAGGGCCCCTTTCTTTTTCATTTGCGTTTGCCTAAGACAGGTCACGTCCGTGGCACAACATGCAGTCTGTTAATGTGGCTTCAACTGGATGATAATCGGGACCCATGACGGCATCAGTCCGCAACTCTCATTGAGCTTACATTCTGTGGTAGTGGGGTGCACCGTTGCTCAACAAACATCTGCTCAACAAAGTTATCAGCGTTCACCAAAAGGAGTTTGGTAGGCTTCGGAGAGACGGATCACTATCAATGTGAGCCAAAACCCAAACCTTGAAGCAAACTACGGGTCTTCTGTATGCGGTTATCGACAATGGATTTTGGTCGTTCGCTATATACTCCACAGGGTTCTGAACGGCTTGAAAATCCATCGCAGATTTTGACATGCGGGCAAAGGTTATGTCAATACGAAAGCTGAGCAGCAGCCGAAGGGCAGCTCTTGCCAAAGGAACCGGCCCCTCCCCAGCAAGACTGCATTGCCCTGCGGGAATGTTGCCAACCTGTCTTCCATATGGCCCATGGGAATTTGTGAGAACGTTGGTTGTGACTATACCGCACCTTTGCGCAACATACGGTCATATATCCTTTCGTTGTCGATTTGGCTATCGATCAACGACTGGGATCTTTGTCGGAAACGAAGCGGAAACCTTGCGCAGGAGGCTGGAGAAACGAAGCGAGGTTTGTGCAGCCTGCCACGGTCGCAAGCAAATTGCCTGTAGCCAGTCAGTATGATAACTTCCTCGCGCGTAGTGCGCTGGCCCAAACAGCTTGTTTGTGACTGCCCAGTCCACTAGCTTGGTTGCGTGCGTGCAGCGTCGTGGAACTTGAGGCAATCATGATCAACTTATTGTATCGATTGTGGTGGTTCACTACATCGTTGTAGGGTTTTGGGCAACCTACATCATGGAAAGGCCCCTTATGGCCTTATGGCCCCTTCAAGAGTATACCCTTACGTGAACAGTTTCGCCTGACCACTTCCGAATGTAGAAAGTGGATCTCCCCAGACATCGGTCACAACAGGCAGCGGCAAGAGGCAGGTGTGCTTTCTTTTACTCTGCGCTCCAGAGGCCCGGGGTGCTTCAAAGAAGTCCTGTTGTGTCATGTGCTTGGATTGTTCACGCAAAGCCTGCAATGCCACTTTGCGATCATGTTTGACGCCTTTGGAGAGTGCCCATGAGAGATCAGCAGTCTGCCTCATCAAAGCCAGATACTCAAATACATCCACAAGCGAAGCAGCAGCAACAAAGCTGGAGTTCCAGGAAAGAGTATGCAACGCGCTGCATTGCCGTGGCTGGATTTGCAGTCGCTCAGGTGATAAGACTTGCGTGGTCCAACATGCTTCTTGGGACTGAGATCCACTTGCACAAGCGACTAGTACGCCAGTCAATGTCACAGCTCCAATCAAGCTGAAAATATCTCATCCAGCTGCGAGCGTGTCGCTGCTTGGCCACCGGGAAATGCCGCACCTGTGAGACAACCAGTACATGACATAATGACCAATGACCTTTCCTCCAGTGTCAAGCGTTTGTAGCGTTTGTAGGATGTAACAGATCCAGGCTGGCTTCCAAGACATGGGAACCAACATGTAATCATATCTTGCTAAGTAGGGTCCATATGGATATCCTCAAAGGCCGCCGGCAAAAACAGCATACACGACCGCAAGAACTGGACAAACAAGTCAGCCGCAAGATTACCATGTGATTATCAGACCGATCAAAGTGCACATTAGCGTCAGGGCCCCCACAAAATTTGGAAAAGGGTGCCTGTATTCATTTGCTCGCCAATTCTTGCAGCTTCCGCCAGAATTCGGCATGATCCCGCACGGCACGGGCTTCCCAGTGTGTGGGGCATGCGCTGACAAAAAGATCAAGCGTGCATTCAAGGGACTTCCGGCTCTTCATGTAACACTTGAATCTGCTCTCTTTGACGATCAGGTCCTTGCCCGTAATTAGTGAAGCTTTGCCGCAGAAACCAGATCTGTGCCGATTATGCGTCTGCGAGACGATCATGTGGGATTCCTTTGCGCGTTTCTGGAGACAAAGGATGATATGGTGCCGCCACTTGTTCACTCAAATAGGCAGACAGTACTGGCTCAGTACAGGAGCACTTGTTGGAGCCTAGCGAAAGGACATTATAGCTGAACATGGTGATGTCAAACTTTTGCATTTGCTGGAGTTCTTCTTGCCCCAGACCTGGAAGACCAAAAGGTTGCAGGGTCCTGCATTCGAAGGATGCATATGGTGCCTCGATAATGTCGTTGAGCTCGCGCTCATGGATCTTATCCAAATGCGGCAACCATTTCTGAACGTCCTTGCTTTTGTGGACGACGACATTGGCCAAATAGGTGGACGTCAGCCTTGCAGTCCAGATCCCTTTCGCACGGTGCACGGCTGGGGCCGGTTGTTGCTCCGCCCCAGGATATAAGAATCTCTGAGGCATGCCAACTTGTTGGTGCGTGCATTCGTGGCTGCGCGGAGAGCAACCTTCGAGAATCTGGCGCTGTACTCTTTGGTCGTTGAGTGCCATAAGGTCATGAAACGGACCTTGCGAGAGTTACCTTTCACAGCCAATTCCATCCATGACACAAATTCCTCGATGGCTTCGCCACCTGCCTGAGCCGACTGCCGGGCCCATTTTCGAGAGAGCTCAGGCATCGTCCCTAGGTGGCGAACGAAACGTGATCAATAACTCACGAAACACTCAGATTCTTGCGGTCAAATGGTAGATATGGCACTGGCAGCGCTGCCATCGCTTTCCCCGACGATCTTGCGCTGGTGAGGTTGAGCCTGTTATCTGGGCACTTGCAATTGATGAGTTGGAAATGCAGCCAGCACACAAATGGCATCTTCTTCTCATCCAAGTTCCTCCGTGCTCCCCTGAAAGCCTTGTCCAGAAAGTTCAATTGAAGCCAAGCCCAAATGCATCATCAACCGTCAATCCTGTGGGACATGGCTCCAGCCAGGTCAAAGAAGCAAGCATCCGGTTCTTCTGCACTGTGCTAGCGTTCATGTAATGGCGCATGAACACCCACATGCGCAACCCATCTTTCGTAAGGGCGAACCAGAACTTGCCTGGCTTGTGTGCGCTGTCATTCAATTCCTCGACACCTATGGTCCCTGACACAAAGTCAGCTTCTCCTGCTACGAAAACACGTTGTCTCCTTATTAAAATACACACTCATATGTGCGAATCATGATGTTGTCTGTTACTGTCACTCTGTGCGAAACCCCATCCAGCAGACCAGGGGATAATAAAACAATTGCAATATGGTGTGCTTCCTGCTTTCGCCCCCACCTGGTTGGTGTGCTGAATTACCCATAATATCCCATAATATGAGATTCCAGATACGGGCTTTCATCACTCCATGTTCAATCTTGTCTAGCGCAAAATGCACCCAGAAGCAAAGGTGCCGCTCAAATTTCGTGCTTTAATGTGTTTTGCCCACAACAAGTGCACAAAAACAGGGAGGAGAGCTTCTTGTAACAGAGCTTTTTCCACAGCTTCTGGGTTTGAATGTTCCTCAGTGTCAGAGCAGCATAACATCAACCAAGCCCATACCGGCCAGCCCCTATCGGCCTCGGCCTGTCCAGACAGCTCCTTCCGCACCACCTCCTGGTTTGCATCAGGGTGGCATGCCTGGCCTCTCTACAAAGCTAGTTTTCAAATCCCTTGGCCAATGTTCTTTTTGGCAAAGGCCTATACGAAGAAGAAGAAGAAGAAGAAGTGGAAGAAGAAGAAGTGGAAGAATAAGAAGAAGAAGAAGAAGAAGAAGTGGAAGAAGAAGAAGAAGTGGAAGAAGAAGAAGAAGAAGTGGAAGAAGAAGAAGAAGACGAAGAAGACGAAGAAGAAGAAGTGGAAGAAGAAGAAGAAGAAGAAGAAGAAGAAGTGGAAGAAGAAGACGAAGAAGAAGAAGTGGAAGAAGAAGAAGAAGAAGAAGTGGAAGAAGAAGAAGAAGACGAAGAAGAAGAAGTGGAAGAAGAAGAAGAAGACGAAGAAGAAGAAGTGGAAGAAGAAGAAGAAGAAGAAGAAGAAGTGGAATAATAATAGTAATACAGTAATAAGAAGTGGAAGAAGAAGAAGAAGGTGATTTACTGGTCTTTGGGAGAGGGTTTTTGAGATTGTTCAATATTGGAACAACAACAACAACAACAACAACAGCTCGTCAATACCCGTTGACCCCGTTGAGTTTGGTGTTCCGACAGAGGCTCAAATGAGGTGTCTACAGCCATGTCCACCAATGTCGTAGCATTGGCAATGGCCAAAGACCCATGAATCGACACCACAAGCTAAGCAACTAAGCTACTAGGAACAAGTGCATCGCTACTAGTAACAAGTGCCTTACTAGTAGTAACAAGAAGCTAGTAGAAACAATTAGAATTAAATTAGAAATTACTTAGAATTTGTTCTCTTTTACGCTAAGCTCAGCATCAGTGGGAAAACACAACCTAGACATCCGACTCCCCGCTGTCTCGTGCGAAAGGTATCTACCAGGACTAAACAACCAAAAGGCAGTCCAATGACCGGACATTATATATATAGCACCTCCAAGGGCCAGTGGGTCTATAATGGTCTATAGCTTTATTGGATTGCCAGTGGAGTTCATCCCAGGAGTCTAACTGCATACACTTATATATGTATATAACTATAAATGCCTTAGTATATCTTAGTATCTATATCAATCCTTTTACGAGTGCCCTGCAGTGCTTTCTCGGGCCCGTTTCTGTCCTTCGGCGTCACACAAAGATCTTTGCCACCTTGGCGGACCAGCACGAACTTCTTCGCCTCCAGTCCTGCAATCAACAGATTCTGTTCGTCAATCTATCTCGATACCAGTACCCGACTTAACCAACAGACTTTGCTGGCATTTGATCACTGAAAGGACACCATCATGTTGTTCCCATCCGCATCATCCCACCAAATAGCGATGGCCCCCAACCTGATAGCATCAGATAGCGATGGCCTCCATTCCTATAGCAATGGCAAACACATGCAAGCGCCCCCACCTGAAAGGATCTGCTTGGGAGTGTCCACGAAGAACTCAGCCGCTTGGCCCTCTAGCGGGATGAGACTGTAGAGGCGCTGAAACTCCTTCTCCTGCGATGAAGCAGGGTGAGGAGCTACAGCTAAATACATCGCCACCTGTCGTCTTTTGTTCGATCTCATTCTATTTTTGTCATTCTTGCGGTTTTCTTTGGACCTTTTGACCAAGCTGCTCTTCTTTTTCAATCAAAAGGATTCCCCCTTCGAGCACCCTTTCGGGCGGAAGTTGCTACAAATATCCGTAGCCATTCGCCACTCTTGCTCCAGCCCACCACCCCGGCTGGTCTATCGCAGCTTCAAAAGCTCCTTGGCGTGTAAGCTGCACCAACTTGCTGATCTTCGATTAAAATACAGGAGGGAAGTGTTCAAACATGGATTAACCTAGTGTGTTGTCTTGCGCCGAATATCGATGAGAGTGTTTGACTCGGATGAAAGCAGGTAAAGTTCATGGAAACTTCATGAACACTCCCTCGGAAATGACACCCTCGAATAAATTGAATTCAATCAAGACGGGGCATTCATCCACACTGTGAGGAGTGGACCCTGTGTGGCTTTAAACATTGTATAAAATTAAACATTATTGAACTTTAAACATCTATTTTTCTGGAAGAATATCTTCGTCAATTAGTCATTTTGTGTAGTTTTTGGATTTTGGACACCTCTCCAAGCTTCCGCCTGCTCTCGAGCCTCGAGAGGGTGACCCCAAAACCGATCGGCTGGTCTCAAACGGCTCGGCTCGGTGGTCTCCCGCGCCGCGGCGTCGTCGATCGCCAGCGCCCGCTCGGCCAGCTGCTCGATCAGCTCGCCTCTCAACGGCGGTTGATGGTTCGGGGCAGCAAAGCGGTTCGGCTTCGGTTGGAGCTCCTGGTGGAGTGAGGCCCATTAGGTGTTTGGGGAGGTTGGCCAGACCCAGCGGAAACATGCCGAAACAGGAAGACTTCTGACTGGCCATTTTGAGAGGTGTTACCGGGGAAGGGGGGCCTTTTGTTTTCTTCCCGACCTAACGGATATTCGAACATACAAGGCCCAAATAGGACTTGTAGGACTCCAAAAGGAATCCCCATGTTTATGGGCAGCCCGATTCTGCTTGACCGTGGCAAACAAAATGATGGAAACTTGCCATTTAGGTGACGACAGAAGGTTCCAATAAGCCATACTCTCTCCCTAACATCTGCCCTGGTGGTTAGATACCTCAAATCTCTTTTAGGATCTTCAAGCTGCACAGGATGTACAGTGTAAATCCATGCTGGTAAATCGGTAAATCAATCTAATCCATTGTGGATCTTGCTCAGTTTCGGAGTCCGATGACCCTCAACAAATCCTCGCTGAGCGTCAAAACGTCTCTGGCAGCGCAGCTCGCAGGCTCTGGTTCAAAGGGTGCTCCTCAAATGCGCAAACACGCATCCTGCCAAAAAAAAGACATCTGCTTTTTGGTTGTCTCTATAGTTATAATACTATGTACATGAAAAAGACACGCAAAAGCTTAAGAGCGCAACAAACTGGTCAGTGAAGTGTATCCAGAAACTACTCCTCCACCCTCTAAACATGGACAGTGTATAGAAGGTGAAAACCGACTTGAACTTTGTGGAGTTGCTTCTGTATAGCCCAGGGTAAGCAAAGGTTTCCCTCATTTCAACACCAACGTGGCCTCAAACCAAGGTCCAGTCCAGCCGTCCCTTCCGCACCCGATGCGTCGCCGAGGCTCAGCCAAAATCGACTCCCTGGAGCTGGGCACCGCCCAATCTGCCTGGACGATGAAGCGGAACCTGCGGTGGGATCGACTCCCGGAACCTGCGGCACCACCGGCATTTTCGGGAAGCACCTAATAGCAATGGCCTCCAAGCCTCAAAAAGAGTTGCACATACTGTTGATGGACAAAATCCTGCACCACTTTGCGCACAGTTTTCTTGCTGCCCTCGTTCTCCCTCGTTAACATTGGGGCCATCACAGTGAGAAAATTAAAACATGTTGAAGGTCCAAAATCCTGCACCACCTCCTCAGAGGGGTCGCGCCAACATTGAATGAGGGGGCGCGGGGGTTGCTATGCGACCCTTCCAGGGTAAAGTGGTGAGGTGGTGCAGGATTTCGCCCATCGACAGTAGCTTTCGAAGAACACTCATCCAACCAGATCAAATCCATTCAACAAAAGTTAAGTGTTATCCATCCAGAAGCCTTGAAACAAAGACGTTTCATTGGGCTTCCTGTGCATGGCCCGTTTGCTTTCACAGTTCAATAAGTGAAACAGTGCCATACCAAGAGATATCAAGTTCACACCCTGGGCAGTTCGTCACAACACTTCGTCCTCTGATCTCCCCAGAAGAACCCATGGTCGCCAGTCCCCACTTCAATTCAAGAGGGAATAATCAAAAACAACCCACTTCTCCAGAGGTTTCGCATCGCATCAAATCTCCACCAGGTGGCCCATAGGATCTCAAGGGTAGCCAAGCAAAGGCCAACTGCTGTTCCTTCTCAAAGCTCTCGGTGCTCCTACGATGAATCGATTGCTGCTCTTTCGACCAGAAACATGACGAGCAAAGCAGCAAACTCAAACCGGCTTGGTTGCTCAGGTCATGCCCCACCCGCTTTGGACAAAACTCTGACCACAATGCAAAACAGCCTTATGTTGTTCATTTCAGTTTACGTTTTATGGTGGGTTCCTTTCACTCGGGAGCTGCCATGAGATTGTGCGGACCTATAAGGCACGGTGTTCCAACAGCAACTCAGAGCGGTCCAGACTCCACAGTCGAACATTCACGGTTCCTTTGCAGTCGTTGGCACATGGCCGACGGCCCCTTTTTTTCGAGTTTCCGGTCCACCCTAGTAACAAGTGCCTTACTACTAGTAACAAGAAGCTACTAGTAACAAGTGCATCGCTACTAGTCACAAGTGCCTTACTAGTAGTAACAAGGATGCTACTAGGGGCTCCTAGTTCACGCCAAACAGGACGCTTTTTGTTGGAGCATGAGAACTGACCTGGCGTCCAAAGCCTGGCTGCCGTTGGCTCGACCCATCTCATCCATGTTCTTTTTTCTTTGGTTTCTTTGGACCCACCTTTCTTCTTCCCTTGCTTGCCTTGGGGAACACCCAAATACCTTGGTTGACCTACCGACGTGACTTGCGTTCCGGTTCTGCGCTTCCCTCTGCCCTTCGCTGTATGGCGGGTGCTAAAAGGGAGTTTGGGAACATAGCTACCAAAACATGCACACTATACAATGCCACAGAAGATCCTATCTACGTGAAACCGAATATTTGCGCTGCACGAAGTAATGCTCTGGGCCCTAATTAGGTGGTGGAGGTATCGGTACCGAATTCAAATCCCCATTTTGACCCATTGGTTGACCTACCTGGAAGGTCAAGCTACACGATGGACCAGGTCCAGGTTGAACGACCCATCCCCATATCAGGGTTGGTCTTTGTCGCACCAAGTCTTCTTCCAAAACACACACACACACACACACACACCCACATGCACACCTTCGCTCCCGCTTCCGATCACAGGGGACCTGGCCTTGGGAATGCGATCTGGAGATCGGTGTCCCGCTGCCCGTCCATAGCTCGTGGAAGCGCTACTGGACGGCGATGCACCTCGAAAGGAGTCGGAATCGGCCCATTTTATAATTGATTCTTCATCATACTTTCACTCCAAAAAGCAGCGAAATGAGACAGGCGCTCGATACTTCTTGGTCATCCCTCTGCACATTTATGAGCAATTGGATGAAGCTGACCTGTTTGTATCTACACGCACTTGCAGTCAATTGGGTATCCTCTAGTGAATCAGCATTAAGACTTTTTGATACTTTTGGCTAGATTTGTGTACTTATGCGGCTCATTGCGGCTCCGTAAGTTTCGAACTAGCATCTGAATGCGTGCTTTCACATGTGACATCTTTGCGTGCCATCTTCGATACGTTTTCAACAGGTCCTAGTCTGACCATCCATCAAACGACCCCGGATTTCGGCGGATCGCTACGATGTGCCGTTTTCAAAGACAAAAAGGTGCAAACGGCTGGTGCAACCGGGGCTTTTGATGATTCTTCGGGGAGACGTGGCAAAGAGCATCTCCTAGGATTTCACCCACTATTGCCTGAAATTTGTGCACTCCGCCTGGCTATCACTTCAGCTGAGGCACATACCAAGAAACCTTCGAAGCATCCTGGGGCAAGGCGTGTCAAGGCGGACCAGAAACCAGCCGAAAGCACCTACAGTATCTCAATTGAATACCGGCTTAAACAATCTAACACATGTTTTCTGGGCGTCATGCCCCTATATGCACCTCGTGTTTGGTTTTGATCTTCTCTCAGACTGAAGAGCTAGGCCATCTTTGGCCGTCCCGTGGAAGAACTGGGAAAGCCGTCACCTGACACACTTGGGGAGCTCAGCTTCTATATAGAGATAGCCACTCATATTCCAAAGCGAGTAGAAGCTACGTCATGTCAGAAAGTCAGAAAAGAACCGCACTTCCTTCACCTTTGTTCATCTTTCTTCCTTGCCAAGCACGAACCATCATGCGCCCCAGCCCTGATCTCCGTCCTCTTTGAGATTATCTGGTGCCGTCGACACAGTGGATGTGTCCAGCCGTACTTCCCGGCCTTCTTCCTCAGCCAAACCGCACGGCCCATGGCCAACGGCTGGGGCGTCTTTTAGAAGCGGACATTGGAAGGCCCACGTCAACCTCAACGCGGAGAAGGGAAAAAGCATCCATACCCCTCGCGGTTTACATGTTGCAGGCACGGTCTCGCCTAGTAAGCACAAGACCAACAACCAAACCCTTTTTATTGACATACGGACCTGTCCATCAAAGCGGGCTCAACATGGATCAACCACAAAGTGTGCGAAGGCCTTTGCAAAGCAACACACACACATATATATATATATAACATTATATAACTATAAGTCGTCTCCGTGCTTTTTGCTTTCGAGCTGTTGTGTGGGCGCTTGTGAATCGTCGCGGGTCCAGGGCTCAAAACGACTCCAGTCAAGCGAGGTTCAAGACGACCCCATGCTCGTTCCCGACTTGGTCCGAGGTGACCGACTCCCGGATCTCTGGGATCTCTGGAAAAAACAAAGGTGAACCAATACTTTCCACCTGCTCCTGTTTAGTGGGGACACTAATTCCCAAGGTTAAAGGATGTTAAAGGTTATCCTCTGACTGGGTAGGGTTACTGTGGGGTGTCTTGAGTGGCCGATATCGATTTGACCAGGCTCATCGATGAACTTCTGGATCGTCTTCTTGACATTCAAGACATGATCCTCAGGACATGTTGTGCCCACAGTCGAGAACTGGAACACCGAAGAGAAAGGTCTGATCCAAACTTAATGACAAGAAGACCCTGAGCACCCTTACTGACTGACTTGGGTGTCACAGTGAAGAGACAAATGGGCCCTTTGTTGGATCTAATCACAACGATTTCACAATATTTCACCCACCAAACTTTGGGCTTTGATGTGAAGGTGATACCGGTGATACCTGAATATACCTGATATCTCTTCTCTAGATGAAAGAAAGAACTCGACCAATCCAATGAAGGAACAAAAGAGAAGGACCAGGATGACATCTGGACGCCCGGGAAAGTGGAAGGTCTTGGGATCTACCCTGCGTGAAAACAATCATGGTAACGTGCATGGCTTGACCCCTGACCATTTTCAGTAGCATTTTCCTCATGTTCCTCTACAAACAGGGGATGGTCCACTGCCATGTTTGTTGGATGCAGGGTAATCTGGTAAAAAACCGATCTGTCTTGGTCGGTGGAGCTTTCCAGCAGATCCACTCACCGGAGAGAAGGAGAACAAGACTGACTGGTTGTACCAGCCGACCACCATGGCCTCCTGAGACCTGGAAAGTAGAGATGGCTGACCCGGCTGAACCGCCAAAAATGAACAGAATAGACTACGAACCATGGTCAACCTACTGAGCTACTGATTATAGGTAGTGAACCAAGACCGCAATAAGACGACGCTCGAAATTCGCTCCAAAAGTCCAATCCTTTTCGGAGAGAAGCCCATTCACCTCTAGGCCCTTGGGCATCTTCCCAAATGGACGCGATGGTGCAAACAAGAGTGCAAAAAGGTGCCCCAAAACCAGTCTTTAAGGATCTTTAAGGTCACTTTGCCGAAGAGTCTTCAATTCTGACCCCAAAATATCCATCGTCGTCCATCCTGTTCTCTCCAATAACACATCTGATATCATCTGATCTCATACAATTCAAAAGTAACTCCCTAGAACATCCCAGGACTCCGCACCACAATGGTAATCTTCTCCAACTTCCGCAAGAAGAGCAACAGCTCTGGCTTCAAGTCCTCGCGGCTTCGACACTCGTGGCGCTGCGATGACTGTAACCTGGGCACTCTGGGCGCAAAACAGTAGGAGTCATGTGGGTCTGAAAGACCAACACTAGAACAGAACAGGTGGATGTCTGGAAATCTCATGCAAGGGGTGTGTTTGGTTGGGATTCCGAGAACTGGCAGTGAGCATTCCTACACCAGCTTTTCTTTTCCCGGTTCATCTTTGTTGGGTCTTCTTCCATCTTCGAGTAGATGGCATGATGGCATCTAAACATCTAATCAGTTTGGAGCTACAGCTGACCCGCTCGGCCGACCGCCGTTGACCCGCTCTGGCCTCCACCACTCGACGACATTTCTCGACCATGCTTTGCTCGTAGAGCGGCAGCACCAGCCGCGTGCCCGTCTTGAAGCCCGAGGGGCGAGTCAACGGAAAAGGAATCAAGTAGCCCAAGCCTTCCAAGGCCTCACAGAGATCTCCCGGACACATGGAAGGGGTTGACCAGTGGTTGGGCAAAAACCGAAGGGTAAGAACCATGTGGATGACCTCTCCAAATGGATGACCTCGTCCGTGCCTAGGTCGCGTAGCGCTGCTGTCCGTCTCCCTAGCAGTTGAACCAAGAAGGACTTGCTGTGTTGCCCAATGAGATCCAACCAGCCAGATCTGGTTGGTGCTTTCAACTCACATGAAACATACGGTATAGGTCAGTGGGTTCAATCATCCCAAGTAAACGTTGAACAACAATATCGGAAAACACCGCCCAAAGATTTCATTGGTAGAAACATCCTGAACAGCGTGTAACCCCCTTGGGGGTGAGCGAAGGGATGGAGTAGAGCCCAGTCTTCTCAAGATCTGAGAGATTCTCAAGATCAATTTTTGAAGTCAAGCGAGCTTGACCGCTTGACCATGCTTGACCATGTAAAACCTCGAGGATTTCCAGTGAAACATCAGATTTCTCTTCCAAATCCACACGCCGCGCAGCTCTAGGCGCGAAGGTGAGACAATTTCCGGCCTCCGAGTCGAAGTGGCAATGGTAAAGCCCTGAATGTACCACTGGCGTCGTGGTGGCACAGAAGACGCTCTTAAACCCGATGCCTTTGGCACCGATGAACTTCCGAGCACCTCAGGATGGACATCCCATGCCCTGCTTTGAAAAAGCCAGGGTATGAGAAATGAGATTCTCCAGTTATCCTTCAGTTTTGGAGGGCTCAAACAACTTGAAGGGCACAACGGTGGACACCAACAATTTGCGGTCAATGGCTGTCCAAATGTAGACATGTTTTTTTCTCCTTAAGTGTTACATACATACTATCCAAACGACATCGCATGACATAATATATCTTTCGGACGACTGGCGTTTTGCGGCCACACAGCAAGGCTTCTGACTCGTTCCAAAACACCCCGTCTGCCAAACACGAAGAGTCTGAGTGCTTCAGTTTCGAGTGCTAGAGTTGTCTCATCAATGGGAGCAACCAGGAGCAACCTGTACAAGTGGACTCCAGAAATCATATGGCCGGGGGTATCAACTTGCGTCACTACCTCTTGCATAGCTCCGCGACGTTACCAGTCCTGATGGCCCTGACTTTTGAAAACCGTTTGCAGGAAAACCGAAATACATTGGCACGATCCCAATCTTCCAAAGACCTAATTCAACCTTAGGAAGTGCGTGGTCTTCGCCAGGAGAAGCCTGATGACAGGCCTACATTTCTTCTCAAAACCAGTGGCCATCTTTCCAACAACATCGTTTGTGAGTTGATTGGCTCAACTACATCGAAACTGGGAAAGTTGAAGGAGCTGAGTAGAAAAATTGACGTGAACAAACTCAAACATAGGAGCAAGGACGCGGAACAAGAAGCTACTAGGGGCATAGCTGTTGCACCTCTGAACCCGCTTCCGAGCGCCGAGGCTCCACCCGCTTTGGTGGACTGGGCGATGTCGCAAAGGGCCTTCAAATTGAAATCACCTGGCTGTAGTCCAAAAGAGGAAGAAAACAAGAAAACAAAAACGGAAAACATGCAAGGAACAAAGACAAGGTCCAAAAGAAAGAACCAAATACAGCAAATATCAGTAACTAAATAAAGAAAGGACAAACGGAAAACAAACAGAAAAAGACGCGGGTGTCACCCAAAAAACCCTCGTCTGACCCTGGGAGCCACACCGGGGATTCGGTGGGGGTGCCAAAACGATACCGATCGTTTGAAGCTGAAACGACCACCCAGCTGAAGACAGGCTGCTTTTCACGCGAAACATTGGCATCCTTTCGCTGGGACTAAGCCCTAAGTCGTATACGTACTGGGTGGCCCTGACCGGAGACATCTGAAGACACGATCCCTGGAAGCACAAAACACTGCGAGAAAAAACCTCAGTATGTGGCAACCTTTAGCAGCCATTCGTGACTGTACTCCCTCTTCTCTGGACCAATGTCTCCATCCAAAAAGAATACTTCACCAAGGCTACTACAGTGACAGCTGTCTGGAAAAGATCCGAAGATCTCCTTTAGCAATGTTGCAGAATCAAACCTGTAGATGCTGGATAGAAGAAAGGGGCATTCATGGGCAAGCGCATAAATCATGCTTTCGCCAGCTCAGGCTTTGGATTGTTCGGAAGCTTGCTGTGAAAACACAATATTGTCACAATACGTTGGTTCTCTCAGTCTGCGTGCAAAATCACTGGAGGATAAAGGTATGATCAGGCACACAAAAAACAGGACATGTTGGCCGTATTGTTGATGAATCATATGAGTAGGTTCGTTGGTTTGTGAAATGTATTGTATAGTCAAGAGAGTCTCGCAGTTGAGTTTCTCTGCTTAACCAAACCGAAGAAGGTTTCCCAATTGCCCAACCAAAAGGCTCAACAACTAACCTCGCTGAACGCCAGATCGAATCTTCTGCGGTCCGCCCGCTCTGGTCGCGTGACGAAAGCCGGTCTCGTTGTGCTCGATGATCAAATAGGCACTTGCAGGCTTGGATGGTTCGAAGGTGGTCCATTTGGCAAACTGCTCGGGGTTGGACCTCGCACGCGGATGATGGTGCGCTGCCTTCTTTTCCACTCTGGAAGCGAGTGAGGTATGGGGAAGGAACTCGAATCTAGACTAAACGAGCGACGAGAAGCACATGCATTGCATGGATTTTGGTCAAGTCTGTATCGCAGCTTTGATTCCAGTCCTGTTCCTTCAGGGGCAGGAGTAGCCTTTCCAACCCACAACCAACAGAACGAAGGAGGGTGACATGGAGGATGTGGGGCAGTGACAGTGACGATAAAGCCGACTGCAAAGCACGAATGCGCTGAAGACATGTGAACAAATTACCCATTGGTTGATACTGACATATATTGACACATGTATAATGATATGAAACAAGAAAGCAAGGTCCAAAGACGCAAAGCAAGAATTAAAAAAACGTCAACAAAAATATGTGTCTTGAGGCCCAAAGTAAAAGACAAAGACATGTCTTCCATTTTTTGGTGGTTACGCCCTGGAAGATTAACATGGAACCTGACAACCACTGGGTTGTAGAAGAAAAAACACTTCCAAACCTCCATGTTCAGGTTCCATGTTAATCTTCCCGGGTGTAAAGCCAAATTCCCAACCCATTTAGATGATTGAGCATACTGACCCCTGTTCGCAGAAACATGTCGAAACCAGTGAGTGAATGAACAAACACTTCATTTCTTTAGATCTCTGGACAATCTGTATAGACCTTTCCTTTTCCTTGTTTTCTTCCTGTTTTCCCATTTTCCTTTCTTCCTTACAGCTTACAACAGTAATGTAGAATCTTGGCTAATAAAACACCAATTCGACGAGGTTTTACGAGAACACATGTGAAATTCAATAATTCTTGGTCTTGAGTACGGTGGAGGAAGCTGTTTCGTTTAGGTCCCTGTTCACGCACATTCGTAGTTTGGTGTAGTGTACAAAGTGACATCCTCTCACCGTTTCACCAATGACCAACATCCCACCCAAACCCGCTTCACCAGTGAGCAAGGGTTGGTGTGGGCGCAGAACCGCAAGTGCGCGCATCCAAATGGGGAGCTCTGTGAGAGTTATATATGTCCGAAAATGTCCGATGGATTGTTAGGCACATTCAGACTTTCTCAAGATCTAAGCTCATACCCACATGCAAAACAAGGCACCAGTAGCTGGATACGTTTGGGGTTCTCTAACACGCATGACTTTGGTGTGTTACGCCGACCTCGCTTGCCAAACCAATCAGCAACGTGTGACATTCTGCGAGACCATGCGAGACATAATTCTAACTATACCGCATAACCCACCCTACCACACAGAGATAGAGATGCCAGCATTGCCAAAGCCTGATGTTCTGGTTCCATGGCCAGGGTGGAAAGAGGTCACTTTCGAGTCACAGGAAGCGTTTCTCATGTCATGTGAGGTATGCCCTGTTTCGCAGAAAGAAATTCGACAGAATACAAGTACAGCATCCTGAAAGTAATTGAGTGCACTCACCTAATGTGATAATTGAGGATTCAAGTGAAAGGTGTTTTCCGAGCACAGTTTTTTGGTCCATTGCCTCACGTTTCTTGCCCTTTCGTGCATTTGGTTTCACTGTAGCTTTCTTCGGTTTGTACATATTTCTGTTCTCAGATTCTTACACCAATGTCTTGTCACTTGTTCTACCTACCTGAACCCGCCATACAATATGGCAAGGGTCAGTGTACGTGCGTGAATCGCAAGTGCGTGCTTCCAACTGATGGGGGGCCTTTATTCATCAAAAGTACGTATACACTGACTAAAAGGAAAAAATCTTTGTCCAGATGTAATTATCCCTTTCAAGCTTCAGGTACCTATACTCTGTGCAGATGAGTTAGGAGTTTGGTGATCTGATGAGTTAGCACTTGCCTGGGGAAACTCTCAACTCATGTGTGCTGGGATGATGGACATGCTCTACAGAGACTGAAGAGATAGGAAACACACAGGGCAACCCTGCATGCAAGTTCCATCTCACAAAGGTCTGGACATGTTTCGGACACAAGATGTCAACTGCCGGCATGCACATGGCACATCCCGTTGACATTCCATCAAAACCATTCAAAATCTTGGCGTTTGTCCACCGCCAACCATGTCGAGTCCATCATAGGCCTCACAACTCCTACCTCATGTGCTGTCATCCACAAAAACCTCTCCAAAGTGCTCCAAAGCATGCTAAAGGAAAACACTTTACAAAGCTCATGTTGAAATCATGTTTTCACTGCCTCAGGCTCATGAGCTAGGAGTTATGTATGAAATAATTGCCAAAATGTACTTTTCCACATGAGATACGACTCATGATTTTTGAGATACTTCCGCCAACTCCTTAGTCATCAGTATACAGTATAAATGTATCTCAGGCACCTGTGCGCGAGACCATCCGGTGTGTTTTTGGCCGGTGCCGTTCCCATTCCCGTCGGGGCGCTCGAAGGTCACTGTGAGGCTTGGCAGGGCATCGCTGGGGAAGTCGCAGTCGTCTGCATTTTGCAGGAGCTCCAGCATGAAATGCACCTCCAGCGCTGGGATTTTGGTGAAAGGTCTGAACCCAAACGGATCCGAAAAAACCTAGCGTTTTCTTCAGCAAACATTGGCCTTTTCAAAAAGATCGTCGACACGGGCGGATCCTGCCATCTGTTCCGATCGAATTCGATGATCGAGGTGATGCAGGATCGCCTGACCGTGATCACCATCAAATCAGAGGATGGAAGACTTCAAAGTACGGAAACTGTCTGGGAAAGTTCCAAGAAGGGAAGGAAAGACACATTAAACAAAATAGGTTTCTGACTTCATCTCCATCATGATTGGCTTTTGGCCACTGTGACTTCCTCTGCCTCTGAAAACACCATGACGTCGCTTCGATTCCACCGATCTATCGCTCTGCAGGTCGGCCGGGCTCCGCCTCTCCGCTGTAGAGATCATCTGCAAGACGTTTCACAGCACCTTGCACCGTCTGCCTTGGCTTACAAGACCGTGCAAAGAAACAAGCCAGGTGAGTGGCGTGGATGTTCCTCTATCATGAGGCTATAACACAATTTCTTGACCAGTTGGTTTTACAAGATAGATTTCTTGAATAAAGTGGAATAAAGTTGAGTTGGAGCTTAAGGAGTGACCTCACAAAAGCTTGATCCATGGCCCATTGAATCGGGTCAGCCAATGGAGTCCCCAGAAAAGTGTCGATATGGAAGACTTTGCATGGAATTTCTGGCATGATCTTCGAAGGAGTTTTCAATAATACACATGTCTCGGGACACCCGATTTCCCTACTCTGGCTGTCCCTGCCTTTGCCTTGGTCCCCCAAAGGATACTCTGCGTGAGTAGAGAAACCAGCGAAAGAGCACTACAATCAATTTAACTCTGGATTGGGTGGTGTTTCAACTGCCACACCCTCTTAGCATGTGGAAAACCACTCGCTCAAACGGATGCTCATTCTCCACCCCAAACCTCAAGCATCATCAAACATCTGGACCTTCGCTGTGATCGCTTCCCGTTTTCACGGGGATGGGGTCGTTCAACCATCATGTTCACCGGACCAGTCCACCGGATCAACCAAAAGGATCCATGTCACCCGCCATGCGACCCACACGCCATGGAGCGACCGTTCCGCCCGCTCGGTCTGACTCGTGGCTGGAGCGAGCGGAGGGCCGAGTGCAAGGGCCTTTGCAGCCACTCGCGAGAGGAAGGATCCACGTCCTGGAACTTCACTCCCTTGTTCCTGGCAGAAGTTCTGAGGCGGAGAATCTCAGAGAATATGAGATGAATTTCTTGGTTGATGGATGTTGATGTTTTGGACTTTGAGGGCAATGAGCCAGTATGCTGCCTGTTGTGACATTGAGCAAGTCTGGAGCTTCTCACTATAGCCAATAGTCAATATATCAGATTATATCAGTAGTAATAGTAACCTCTTTTTCGATGCACCCCAAACTTACAAGCATCAAGAAGTAAACCCGGGGCTGGCAAGCAAACTCTATACCAACGCACTGGTGCCTTTGGGCTTTCTAAAACTCTTTTCACTCCAACCATCTCCAACCAAACCGAATCCTTCCACGGTCGACAATCCACCGAACTAACCACAACGAACCGGCGGAATCCTCAGGTGTCTCCTGTCCTGGCAATCCTCCGGCAAAGCTTCACATTCTCCGACCCGTCGTCGCGTCTGGGACCCTCGTCTTCGTCGGTGCCTTCGGAGATCACACCGTCACCTTCGGAGCGCCCGAGCTGCAACACCGAAAGAAAGAGCTCGAAGCATCACGGCCACTGGACTTCACACTGGACCACCATGGACCACCCAACTCATCTTGCAAGACTTGGAGGTGTGAACTTCATGAACTAAGGAGCGGTCTTCGCAAAGAATCACCATTCAGCTGGCTGGTAGCTGAATCCAATGAATTAGGGAACAGATCTTCACCAATCGATACACGGAATTTCACGAGAAACGAAAGGTGGTTCACCGACAGCTCCCCCTGAACTCCGGGAATTTCGTGGTTTTTCATGTGAAAACCAATCCAAGCCATCGACAGCAGGGAATTCCCGCAGGCACCGGAATGTTCCCGAATGCACGACCGGTAGAATTTGAAAGTGACTTCGGCCAGGCCAGGTATGGGCCGCACCAAAACGTTCATAGCCTTTGAACACTTCGGGTGCATATCAATAAATTTGGGGACCTCTCAGTTCGACCCCCTGGAAGAAGGGAAATGCACACTGGCTTCATTGGTTGCTTTACAACTTTTATGAATGTTTCTCTTGCCTTCTCTAGCGCTTTGCACATGTCCTGTCCTGTAAAGTGTTTGAGATTGGTTGAGCTACAGTCCGAGAATGTCGTGCGCATGCGTACAGCAGCATGTCGTGGGAGACTGAATGTACACTTCGCCAATGGCCGACACTTCCAGGTCCAAGTCACTGCTGTCCACATCGCTCATCTCCAACTGAGCAGAACGGTGGAGGTTCTCGATGGCCGGACGGCTGGATAACAAAAGCATATGCCTCTTGTTTCCCATTTTGCTGCAGCATTTTCGGTCCAGAGCTGACGATGAAAGCAGACGAACACTTATGAACGGAAAAATGGACGAACGGATATGAAAGGGAGATAAAGGGAGTAATCAACCAATCTTGCACCAATATGGATGAACTGTCGCAAACCCGACCAACGGGCTGACCATCGGTGCCTGCCTGCGCGGCGCCGCGTGAAGGCGCCGCGGCCGCGCCGTGACGCCCATGGTGGCCGTGATCGCGGCGAGGAAGGGGCGGAACACGTTGCTCCGGCTCACCTCAGAGGCATCGTGGCCAAAACAGGTTGGCACAAAGAAACACAGAAAGAAAGAGAGGTCCAAAATGGTCCAGAGCAAAAAAAAAGAGAGCCAAACATGATTCGCCTCTATTTGGAGTCGCACATGTCATCCACTCTTCGTATCAATGGATTAAACACCACAGCCTCCGGTTCCAGCCCAGTAAGCACTGTCTTCGGATCATCAGTGGATCTAGTTCCTAGCAAAGCAGCTACACAAAAGACGTCTCCGGAGTTTTGAGAGGGAAGAAATCTCATGCTTTCATTACGCACCAACAAAACTCATGGCACTTACCGCCTTCTGCTGAGATTCTCAAGAGATCAACGCCGTAGAAGCTCTCCCACTTTAACTCCCACTCGGTGACTCCTGTGTTCTTGGCGAGCCACCTGAAGAAGACTCCGCAGACACAACGAAAGCAGGGTACAGTGTACAAGCTATAATGACAGCTTTTCTTTTCGGTTTATTTGAGTTACCTTCCCCTCTTCTAATGAGTTCAATTTTGGTTGTCTTTAGAGAGCCTTTAAGCCTTCCATTCATTGCCTTTCTTTATAAACTTTAGACCCTTTGTATTCTGCTCGACTCTGCAAGGACCTCGTTACGAACATGGGTCTGGAGAGTCAAAGTCGCCAACAAGCATTGGTCCGTTTTCGGGCAGCGAAGGAACACCCTTCAAGGCCCTTCGATCCGTTACGAACAGGAAAATCCGTTACGGACACTTCTCAAGGACTTTGGACCTTAATGGAATAGGTGACCATCGCTAGTAGGTTGGAGGCCATCGCTATTAGGTGGAGGCGATCGCTAGTAGGTTGGAAGATTCACAAATTGGAAACAGCCATCACTATGATTCCCAACCCATCGATCGCTTCGACCCATCTTCTTTCCCCATGTTTCTTGAACTGGGACGACTCCGACATTGAACCTTTCCCAAAAACCAGCCCTCACGGGGAATAGATCGAAACGATACCCACAATACATCTTGGTGCAGGGATTGCTTCTTTTCTATTCTTTTCTGTATTGTTACAGAAATATGTACTACGCTTCACATCATATCTGAGCATATTTCCTATACAGGGCAAACAGTGATGACACAAGAGGTGTGACTGCCAATGACACCCCACTTCTGGGTCCGGCAGGGTAGTGATTCCCCCAATCCATTTTGGCTCGAATTCAGGATCGGACTCCGATCGTTGGCGCAAAATCTTTCACGCGAACCATCCAGCCAGAGCCAAGAGGAGCCCCCTTGAAGAAGCGCTCGCACTAATCATTTGGTTCTAGATGTTTAGGGAAACTTAAGGAAAATAAAGTAGCACACATGAATCGAACACGTTTTTGTTTGTTCGTTCCAGAATGCACATGCCTTCGCTGCCCTTCCGATGGGCTGTGCCGCTTGACCTGAAATTCGTTGTGCGATTCACGAAGCATCTGCCGTCACCCCCATCCTTCGCTTCGCTTCGCTTGCTCCCACCTCACAGTCGTTGTCCAGTCGGCTCTGCGCCGGGACGCGTGGAGCATTTCTCGCTTAGGCAAACCCAGCCTGAGCTGGTGGAAAAAAGGGTTGGTGTGACAGGCCTCACGTTACAACCAAGGTTTCACAACTGTGGAGTGCTGGGTAGACTAGAAGAATGTTAGAAGGTTTCCTTTCTTCGATCAACCCTCAGCAGAATCTTCATGTTTGATTCTTCTTCGGCCAGCGTGAGACAATACTATGGTAGCGGAAAAAACGGAATCTTTCCTTGGAACAGTCACATTAAGACGGCTTGCTTTTCCTTGTGTGGCTTGTGCGAGGCCACGAAGCACAACACACTCACAAGCCTTGCGAAAACCCTGCAACCCCGCGACCAACGGGGCCGAACATGGGAAGCGGCCGAGAAAAGCCACGTTCGCGAACGGAACCCAAACACATTGAGTCGGTGGTCGATGATGGTGGAAGAGAGTTTGGTGGGAGAATGCAGCGCGAACATTGAATAACATTGAAGAACAACCAGTATGAACTTCAAATGATCATGCCTTCCCCAACTGCCTTCCCCCTGTCCAAATCTGGGCGATTGGTGCTCCAAATGACTTCGTGTAGGCTTTTGCAAAGATGGGTGCCACGGCGTCACGCCACCTCACCGAGTCACCCCGAGTCCAGCGAAAATGGTGCCAGAAATTCTTCCGGATGGGTTCCCCCATGTTCGCAGTGCTTTTCGATGCTCTTCTGCTTTAAGAAGCGGTCTAGACGTTGAATTTGGTGGCCCAGAGCTGGGAACCTACAGTTCAGCTCCAGCTCTCCACTCCCCCGGAAGCAATTTGATAGCTGATCTCAGAGTATCAGAACAACTTCCGTTTCGATGGATCGGAGCCAACACATTTCACAGATCGGAGCCAATCTATATGTCTTTTTATCGGACCCGGAGATGAGATACCTTAAACGAGTCAACCGATATGTCTTCAAACAACGAAACGGAAGACGCACGCAAGTCCCCCCGCATTGAAGTCTCTGGTGCACTGCAGGACATCCACTTGTCTCTGTGTCGTCTTTCAAACCCTACCTTATGGGCTAAGGAATGTGACAACCACCAAAGACCAAATTGGTGAGAGCTAGCCTCATTATTAGGTGGACGGGTTTACCCTGAGGCCTCCCACTGCTGGTTTTTGACCTACTTCAGCTGACGGGACTCATGGCAAATCCATGACCCAGCCCCGAACGATGCCGGACGGCCAAGAACCGCCGCCCAAAGCGCGAAGCTGGAGGTTCCAGAAAATCCGGGATGCGTGCTCTTAACGTCTTTTAACGATGCCCTTCTTTTGGTTTGGTTCGATCAAAGTTCTATTTGAAAAGACTCTCTGAGTCCCCAGCATAACGTACCAGTTACCCAGTTGTTGTTCAAAATAACTTTGAGAACCGATGTCCCTTTTTGAGTTCAGAAAATCTCATTGTTCTCCTCCTGTCGGTGGGTTGGATATAGACTTGAATTGGTATAGGTGCTCGGATTTGAAACCCAAGAATCCAACTGTGAACCTGCCTATTAGGAGAAGTTCAATTGAACTTCCTGGTGAAACTCGCAGTGAACAGTTTAAGAACCTGGAAGCCCAAAGGTTTGTTCATGTCCCTTCACACACCCTGGTTGTGGCTGATTCTCCTATTCTTGTACCCCCGAATACTAAAACAAAACTGGATCTGTAGTCTGCGGCAGGGCGTTCATTGTGGCTCAAAGGAAAGAATTGCAACGCTTCACATCCTTTCCTTTGGCCTCCGGGGTCTCTAGGACTCTAGGGCACTGTCTGCATTCTTCAATTTCCCATCCAGAATCCCTTCCGGGTAGGGAAGCGACATCTAAGCACTTCCATCCGCCTGCCACGGAAGGAGCAAAACGTTCGTCGTTCTCGTGTCTGAGAGGCTGCAGGGGCAACGCAGTGATGGCTTGCAGCACAAAAATCTCACGCTGATGGCAGTCTTGGTGCCAGCCCCTGGCACTTCGTGGCTGATGTGAAGCCCGCAACAGCTGTAAAAGCAAACTCAGCTGGGACCTGAAGAACAATGGCAACAAGTTGGAACCAAAGACCTTCATTGAATTGGGAGCTTCAGGTTGCTTTGGCACCCAAAATCGATTGCTCAAGAACTCGCTATGTAGGAGGCCCCGTCTCAATCTTTGCCACTGGAGGAACCCAAGGTGAAAGCAAAACTGCCAAAGCTTTTCGCGACCGTGCAAGTGGTTTTCTCTTCTCCATTATTCTTCTCTCGTCTTCTGCTATCTTCTGCTTTGTCTTAATTTGTTCCTTCCTTATCCTATCTTCCTTGCCCTCTTCCTATCCTCCTCCTCTGAAGAAAACAAATCAAACCACTCACTCTTACCCTGTTTCCATCGCGCAAGGTCGGGGCCCCTCCCGTGTGGCCTTAAGGCTTCTTCGGCTGCGAAGACGAACTGGTCCTGCCGGAAGTTGCGCCCCTCTGCAAGGTATCGGTGAAGCACCTGGCGGGCTAACAGGCGCCATGTACCAGGGGCTCATGTACCTGGCACGTACTCCTGATACTCTGGAAATTGGACGGTTTGATCTTTCGCCACATTTCTACAGCAAGCCGAAACTTGCCCGACTGGTTCACTGAAGAGGTCAAATTCGTTCAGCCGCATCTTGTGAAGCTCATGAGGACTCATCTGCTACCAAACGTGAATCATACTGTCCACGAAAGACTTTGCAGGATGTTGCAGGAATCAGGAAGACCCTGGGCTCCAACCCCAGGCCCTTCATGGCTATTCACTGAGGGGCGAGCCGGCAATCGGATCCGTCCACTCCATGGGATTCGGGGTTCTCTGGGCCCATTGGCTTCACCTATGTCCGACGTGTTTCCACAAACATCCTCGGCCACTCGGCACCGCTCCGCTGGCAGCGGCGGGGTCTTTCCGGTCCAGAGCTTTGGCGAAGTCCTCCACGGAGCCTCACGGGGAAGGCGGAACGGTTGCTTTGAAGACGGTTCCAAGAAGACCCGCGCGGTTTTGGGGAGGTCGAAACTGGTGTGGCTGCGGTGATTCCTGAAAATGGACTTGTTGCCCGTGGATCAAGGAAAGTGCCCTTGAAGATCCTTGAAGCAATGGGTTTTGTGAACGACCTCATTCCGAAGTTGCCGACTTCCGGTCTCAGCCGATGCAAGTGACCCTGCTATTTACCGTGGCCGGGTAATGGAGGTACAGGTTTGAGTCAAACGTGCATGCCATTTTCTCGAAGGGGGCAAGGTGAAAATGGCGAGTGGAGATAGCAACATGTTTTTCTTGTCTGTGACTCAGTCGAACAGCTGAAAGGTCAACGACTTTTCCCCAGCAAGCAGCCCGCCCAAAACAATCTGCACCTGCAAACGCTACCTACCCATACCTGCACTAAACCCATCTAAACTGACAAATATAGTCTTGTGATGTCTTGTATCTTGTGTGATAGATTCTTGAGACATTTCACCATGTACTATTCTGTAAGAAACCGTTTTCTTCATTCTGGGAATACAGATCTTTGATCTTCTCATGGTGAACTAGGGTCGCCTAGTAGATTCCAAGCTGTTCAGGTCTCTTCTTGGCTTTCTTCTGCACGTTTGATGGACCATGACCCGAACTCCCGGGCTTCATCACACCCATCCTTTTGATCCATCCCCTCTCCCAGGCTTCGCCTGAGGGCAGTCGCACGAAGTGCCGCCAGCCCAGCAAGGTGATCTGTCCCGGGTCGTCTGCGTCGCGACGGCGACCTCTTCGGTTCCACTGCGTGGCAAAGTCACTGGAGGACCTCGAAGTGTGCGACCGTCATGGCGGTCTCTGGAATCATTCCGTGGAAGATTCCTGATACTGCAGGTGTGTGCTAGCGGTCTCTGACCTCAAATAGCCTGAATGTATCTGAAAGTCAAACTGGTATCCTGGTATTGTAGACTCTTGATGAATCAAATCCCCCAAACATGGATTGAAAAACCTCTTGAGGCCTGGGGAGTTGAACTACAATCAAGAGGCTACATGCAATTCGTACATAGGTTTGAGGGGTGGAGTCACAGTGAGGTCTCGAAACTGAGAATGCAAGTACACTGTACACTTAACTGGGAGTCGCTGCCCAACTCGGTCAGAGTCGGTCTTGAAACAGGCGGCAAAAAGGAGGAGAGCTCGCCAAGCACGGGCTGGAATTGGTCTTCCCAATCCAATACCACTTGCAAGTCCATCAGGAATGGCGCGGAGGCGATCTCTTCCACAGCATCAGCCGTCTTTTGTATCTTATCCTTAGATGAAGATGAATTCTCGACCGTTGAGTCGGATGACGTGTTGAAAGTGGGTCACGCACGTGTCATCACTTGTTGTAAGAACACTTGTGATTTGGGAAGACCATGTGAGTGCTGTGTGCTGTGGGGGTGGGAATCGGAAGATCCATCGAAGTAAGTCCTTCACTGAACCGGACCTTCGTAGCAGCCGAGGATGGTTCACGGATCTGCCTGATATGGGGGTTTCCACATTCCACGAAGAAGTCCAAAGCCAATTGCAAACGGCTGCGGATCTGCTTGATCTGTCCCTTATGTTGGTACCTCAAACCACCGTTGTGGGTCTTGCCCGGCCTTCTGATGGGGTAGTACTGCATCAGTTTTCTTGGCACTCTTAGAAAGTTCAAACAAACGTTGAAAAACGCAGCGCCTACCTCTGACTTAGGCACAACCGAGCACATGACCTCAAGAACGACCGAAGCAACGTGATGAGTTCTTCGTTCTTCACAACGGAAAAGTCGGATGGTCCGTACGAGGCGAACGGAACGTGGACCAGGATCCGTTCAGTGGTTTTCGCACGAGGAAGCACCCATGCGACCGTTTCGCCGAAAGCATTTTTCGTGCGGTGAATTGAGAGTTTGGGCGTTTCAGAAGTGGCGTGTTTAGGACCGGACAACGTTTTGAGGTTCTAGGCTACTAGGTGATCCTTTCAGGTTCACAAGGCCTGTTCAGTCAGGACTTGTTCAGTCCTTCAATCTGAGAAAAGGACAAAACCTCTTGGAACAAGTCCTTTTCTCAGACGTGCTCATTGGCTTTGGTGGAGAATGGCCATGGTTGAAATGAAAGAATCCGGTATGTTCAGAGCTGGAAAGGAAAGGAACGACCTTTTCTTTGGGGTGAATGTACTTCAAATTAATTCAAGCCCGCTTGAAGTTGTTTGGGTTTGTCATCTTTTGGTTGTTCCTTTAAACACCTGCCAGCATCTATATACCTACTACAACTGGACCTTGGTGAAGCAACGTCCAACATACTGCTCCAAACCCTAAGAATCTGAAGAGCTCGATGTAGGCCTACCAGGCCCGTTACCGGGCCCACCAGATCACCAAGCCTCTCCCTTCGCCATGCCCGGCTGTTGTTCGGTGTGCGCGCTTACGGCCGCGCGTGCCCAGGCGACCAGGACCGGTGAAGCTGCAGCGTTGGTGAGGCCAGATGCCCGGTTCCAGGCCTCAAGAGGGGACCGGCCTGGGAGTGGTGGATTCACTGGTGAATTCAAGTGATTTGAATCCGTTTAACAAAAAGGGTGAGGAGGTGTATCATTATTATCATTGGGACTCATGAAGGGGAATGTTGAACATTGGTAAACATCACTGGCTACTGTTTTGTGGTTTTGTTGCTGCTCAACAAGAATACCACAGAATACCGAAAAACACCTCACTCTGACAAACACTTGGACAACGGTTGCGATCTGTCGCCAGTGGGATCAGCTACCGCATAGACTACATGCATTCATTATCACCAAACCTGGGAGCTGGTTCCAGCTTTCGATGTAAATTTGTTAAAACAAGCACTACACTCCGAGCCACGCACATGGAAGTGGAACAATACCTGTTCGGGTTTCATATGGTTTCATGGTCATCCATGCCGGCCATCCCGTCCACTTCTATGATCATTTCAGGGAGTCGATCTCTGAGCACTCGACATGCAAACAGATAGACTGACACCGGACCAGGGGATTGGACACAAAGCAACTGGGTATGAATCGAACAAATCACATCTGCACATCATTTGCACAAAGCAACTGACCGTTCAAAACCGCTCTCGAACAAATCAATTTCATGCCTCTCTAGGAGTTTTGCTCAAAAGAAGGGGGTGGATTCTTGCATTTGGGAATGTCGACTATCAAACCGGAGACCGTCTACACCATGGCTGCCACCAAACCACCAAAACAACGAGTATCTCAGTATCGTTTCAAAAAAGGTGAAGCCTAAGCCGTGAAAGCACCCCTTTTTGGCCTTTGCCGCACACTGGAGACAGCGGGCCGAAGACCGGGGACCGTCCGCGAATTGCGACTCCCGTCGAGGGGCGACCTGCGCCTGTGCGGGAGAGAGCAGCGAAGCGAAATGACCCCGGATCCCACACAACGCCTCTGAGGCATTGCATTGCAACGCCTCTGCGAAGGAAAGGAGAGGGCTAGGGAGAGGGGCCAAGCACTCACTTGTGCACTGGGCCAGTGGAAGGGTTGGGACTTGAAGCTTGGCCCAGACCGCAATGGGCCATTGGAATTTGAAACAGATTTATATCACTCTTGGACCTGCTTGGAGATTCGCAAGATATCTATGTAGCACTTCAGGAAGACCAAATCCTGTCCAGGTCTTCACTGGACCCCTCGTTCAGCGGCTTGTACGAGGGATTCTTGAAAAAGGGGAACGTGTTCGGCCACTGCGACGATGGCCGGCTTCTACACCTGTTCTGGGACCTGATCGCCTTGTCTGCCACCCATCCAGCCCCACCGATCTAGCTTTCCTTCCATGCCGGAATCAAGCATCTTTTGTTCAGCCCTGCCACCAGAGAGTGAAACCAATCACGACTTCTGAGCAAGAGTAAGAGGCGCATCGTCGAGTAAGAACAGGAATACATCTACCAACACTGATGCAGGCGGGTAGGCCTGATCTACCAACACCAGGTGGGTAGGCACACAAACGTTTGCCAAAAGGCGCCCACAGCCCCGCATTACATCACGAATTGAAGTGTCAAAATACTACCAATGGATAACACACACACACAAAAAAAAGATGCTGATATTTGTCGTACATTGCCAACAAAAGCCGTAAGTTCGAGGCAAGCCGGCAAGCCCAACATAAATCCCCTTGCATACACAGTCAACATCACCATGCGTCAAATCCCTAAATGATCATCAAACCACATACACCAACACAAAAGCAAATTCAATAAAGGTATTAATGCAGAGGCGTCTGTTCTTCCATCAAAAAACCATCGTCACACAGGCGTCCCCCATCGCTCCAAGGAAACGAGTAACGCTCAACATCGAACCGCTTCTTTGGACCAACACCGACGAGCGGTGCATCGCTACTAGAAGCGGTGGAGCCCATGGAGGCCATCTCTACTAGTCTTGAGGACCCGAGAGCCCAACCCCAGACGCCTTCAGCTCATCGCAAAAGGTGCGCAAGTCCCGTGTGAGCGGGGAAGACGCGTCGGTGTCGTCGAAACGATCCAGGAGCGAACCAATCTCCTCTGCCTGGGCATGTCACGTGAGTGGCGACAAGTCGAACACAGGAAAAACCATCAACAAGTCCTACCTTTGGCCTATGGAATGTACGGGAGAACACGTTCTGTAAACTATGGAATACCAAATATCGGTTTGCACATTTCATCAAATCCACTATCAGCCTGGATGTCTGCAAAGTGGATCCCAAAAATACAGCAGTACCGATGCTCCCCAGAAGAACCATTGCTTTAAGACGATCCTGGCTTCCGACCATCAAATTGGGTGAATCTTCAGCACAGGATGGACGAAGAGACAAAGAGAGGCAGACTGTTGTACAAAGCTAGAAAGCGTTTAATTTAATCTGCAATGATTTGCTAGTGCTGTCATTCCGCTCGCAGAAAAATATTGTACCACTTTGCACATTGGGCAAACAAATTTCTCAAGACCAACCACCCAAGAAATCCCAAGAACATCTGAACAAATCAAACGACTTTGTTCGAAAATGGTCCCCCTGACTCTTTGCATCGGGCCACATTCTTGGCCAAAAACTCTCCATAGCCGAAACCCAGCTTCAGCTCGTCAAAGGTTGTGACCTCACCGCGCTGGCAAAGCTCTTCTTCGCCTCGACCCACTGCTTTCCTTGGATGACTCAACGCAAACGAATTGCTTAAAGCATAAGTAGTCCCCAACGAGAGAGAAAAGTGATCCAATACATGTTTGAAGGACATGTTGTTTTCCAACCTAAGGCGGCGATATAGACAATGGGAAAGACACATATTTGTTGGGACCTTCTGGAAGGTCTCTGAGTAAACTTTGGCCAACTTCATGTAGTTCACTCAAACACGGACGCCACGAACTTGTCCAGGGTTGTTCTGGAAGTCAACCGTGATCTTTGGATATATATATATATATAGTAACTGTTTTAATCAATCCATTGCTGATCCTTGCACCAGCGCGGTCAGGTGTAAACATTTGGATCCCACCACTTTCCTTTACAGCAAAAGGCGGAAGAGGAGCTCCATCAGTGGCTTGTTCAGTCTTGTGGGTAAACTGGTCTGTCTTTCTTTGAGCCAGTCAGTTGTGTGGTTTTCTCAAATGTTTGTGCGTTGGAGAGGATGCAATGAATAGAATAGCATCATGATACGACATGATGTCGCATTTCTGCAGGGAGAAGACTGAATTCGACTCGAACATCTGAAAAGACAAGGAGGAGACCTTTGGACGATACCGCATGCAAGCTTCAACAACTTGCCAAAACTTCTTCCTTCTTCCTGCTCCCCTTCGGCCAAAATGGTTGCACTCAGCACATCCTTGAACCAATGCAAAACGTTCTCCTCACTCTGCGGGCAACGCCTCAACTGGCAAAGGTTTGATCCACAAGGCAAATGCTTTTGACATCCCACTTGTTTAAAACCTGCCATGGATCCTGGTAAATGAACACTGGGTAGTGCACAGTTGCTTAGAAGAAAGTACCAAGAAAAAAAACTCTGCAAACAAAACCACCATGGAGACAACGATCGCCTTCTCTTCGAATGTTTCTCTATAGAATGACTTGCAGCTTGTGGATCAGTTGTTATATAGCTTGCGCGCAAACCTCTGTACTATGAAACGTTCACTCTATGTTCCCAAAAACATCCAAAAACAACCTCTGCTTCAAGGGAAAACCGCTCGTCACACACACACACACACACACACTCACTCACTCACTCACTCACTCTCTCTCTCTCTCTCTCTCGTGGATCATGTCAAATAAAACCTGCTGCCCACGCGCCCTTCAAAAGACTTGTTCACCCCCAACCCTCTCTCAACGAGAGGCACAAAAAAGCAAATCCACCAACTACCGACCTGTGACCTCTGGGTAATCACCGTAGGGAAGGTGGATCATGTTTCACATTGCACGTCGATCATGGTGGAGTTGAAACCTCTTGCACAGTTCTGGCCTTCAAATTGACCGTGTTTTCGGGCGCTACACTTTCTGGGCCCATGCCAAACCACAGTTTCTGTGAGGAACGACGTCTTCAGCAAATCCAAGTTCACAAGGAGGATCCGAAGCCCTTCGAATTCTCGCCCACCGGCAGCATGTGATGCAATTCAGAGTGAAGATCCAGAAATTGCGGCAGCGAGAAGGGAAGCTCCTCGGTGGAGTCGAAACCATCAGCTGGAAGGGATCGGAGGGCCTTGGGGGAGGTTCACCCCTTTGAGAATCGTAAAACGATGCATCAAACGAGTTCCCAGCCAGGTCCGTTTCGACGCGACGAAAGGTTTTTTAGGGGTACAGTCGAAACGCCAAGACTTGGTTTTCACGCCAAGGTCACCCTGACTGGCCCTCAACTTCGGGACTGTAAAACATGTGTTGGGGAACCAGGAGAGGAAACACACATAGGAGCAGCCTGTGGTAGTCGTCGATCCACGCGTGTATCAGAATCTGTAGAAGCAACATTCATATGTTGTCAGTCGTCAGTCAGTTTCCAGGGTGCCCAACCATTCACCGTGCACAACTTGAGGTTGCAGTGACTTAAATCCTCTGTGCTAAGGCTCCCGCCCTGATATCGAAGGAAGAGATTAAACCCCCGCGGAGACTGATTTCGTGCTATGAGAGTCTATCAAAAGCCTTTTAATCGTCAAAACCCCTTGAGATAGAGAGTCTATCTTTGTCTCGATTGACGAGCTCTATGGTCATCATATGTCATCATGGACGTACGACCGTGCTGATCCCTAAGTCAACTACTGCTATTCCTGCAATCCCAAGCTGCTCAGCTGGTTTAACTTGCTGAGTTCGACCCAAAAAAATGCTCCAAGAGTCTCTTGGGGTTTGGCATGACCCCATACGAAAAAGATCGAACAAGTCTCTCGAAAGGAGTTTGACGCATCAGCAGAGAAAAGTGCGCAAGAAGGTGCAGCTGAAGCAAGTGATTAAGCAGCTTTAGTCCAACCGAAACAAGGGGGGCGCCGACTGGTGGCCGACTGCGTCTCATCGACTTTCTCCACTCTCCGGGTGAAGCATTCTGGCTTGCGGGCAGTCGGGGTGCCAATATCTTCTCAATCTTTCCGGCGCGAAACCTTGCTACTAGTAACAAGGCACCGCTACTGGTAACAAGGGGCATTACTACTGGCAAGAAGCTACTAGGAACAAGGGCATCGCTACTAGGAGCAAGGACGCTACTAGGGGCTCCTGGCCTTACTACTAGGAGCAAGAAGCTACTAGGAACAAGGGCATTACTACTGGTAACTAAGGGATTACTACTAGCCACATCCGAAACATCCGAAACCACATCACTGAAGCCAAAGGTCACAAGGGCGCTGGACGTCATAGGCTCGTAGCAACTCTTGCTCACACTTCAGCAGGACCTGTTGAAAAAGCACGGCGTTGGATCCTTTGGATCAGGAGAAACAGATTGGCCTCCAAACAGCTGGGCTTCCCAGGAAAGTCAAGGGCACACTTCTGGCATTTGGCCGCACGGTGATCTACCGCGGCAACAAGCAGTTGAACATGTTGAACCCAAAGATGCCTGTGACGGTGATGTTTCTTGACCTTTTTTGCACCCCCCAGGTGACTATATGTAGCAAGAAGCTACTAGGGGCTCCTGGCCATACTACTAGGGACGCTACGAACGGGGCTCCTGGCATCGGCCCCCGGGGCCCACGGCCTTGGCGAAGCTCTTCTCCTGCGAAACCGAGGAAGGCACGAGGAGGCGCCGAACTCACGTGCATCACCCAGTAGCAAGGACGCTATGCTCGGTGGAGGCCATCGCAAGTAGGGTGGAGGCCGAGTTTCGGGCACAACTGCTCCCCCCAAACCAGCACGTTTGGCCTTCAACATGAAGCGTTTTGAACCCTAGGCACGCACAGGATGGTAGGATTCGTTCGGCAAGGTTAAGGTGAGGTACCTTTGCTCTGCATTTGATCCGTCTGAATCTGTTGGATCAAGTACTTTGGAGCAACGAGGTGGAGCTGGCTTCTGCGGTGGAACCCTTCAAGCTCCCTTCAAATCCTTCAAACAACACAAAAACGAAGTGAACACATCTCTCTTCTCTGAGCTTTCACGAGCTTTACTTGCTTTACAAGTACTTTTCTGGATCTTTTTGGCCTTACCCCAGTGATGACCAGGCATATCTCTTTTCAATCTTTTTGCAACCTTCCCAATTCCTGATGGATCCACGCACCCTCGGAGTGTTCGGTGATGTGTTCGACACTTGGATGGAGGCGGTCAGGCGGTCTTGGAGGGTCCAACCACAGAAACTAACAACTCGCACTGTCATGAACCCTGCCATCCGCTCGACACGGAAGGATGTGCGAAAATCTCAGGTCCTAAACTTGAACAGGGAAAAATATGGAAACATCCACCGGCTCTGCGTTTCACTTCCTATACAAAACACTTGTCAACCCACAGCTGGTATATCTGATGAATCACATCATTACTGTATATACCCCCAAACATATCAAACTATTCAGAATTTCAAATTTATAAAATCAAATATAGAAAAATAAATATAGAAACAGTAAAGTAGGTATTATCAAGTGCTGGATCCAGGGGCTCTACGAGAGTGTCCAAGACATTCTATTGATTCTATTGTGGACTCTTCAGTTTAACCTCGTCACTTGCCTCGGTCAAAACCAAAGCCCAACACCATATTGCGTACACTCAGCTTGACATGTGTACACTCAGCTCAGACCGAAGATCAACTTTTCACAATGATCTTTTTCACTTCACTGTTCTTCCCAACCGGCCTTCGCAGGAAACTCTTGGAGTGCTCCAGCGGCCGCCTCCAAAACGCTCTTCGAGGGCTGGAGCGCTTCGCTGCAGCGCTGCAAAGAGACGGCCAGATCTTCCTGTCGAGTGACCAAATTCGACAGCTGTGAAACGGATTGGCTTACCCAGCAGGTACTCCCTGCTAGGCCGGGCCTTCCGTTTGAGCATTAAAAAACAGGTTGACCTGGTTTTGGAGTGTAAAATCGTGTAAAACAATAGTTGTTCGGAATTCAGGCGATAAAAACCATGGTGGTTGAAATCCTAAGGGTATGGCACCTGTTGTTGATTGCTGAGGTGGACAGGTCTTTGTTTCCTTGTCGTACACCACTACGTCATGGTGCAGCTAAAGTCGATTTCATCCCGGCGGATTGCTATGCCAGACAGGGCGGTTGGGAGGATCCGAGGATCCAGCGTGCAACAAATCGGTGCTGGCGGTGCTTTTCTGTTTGGTTTGTTGCTGTTGATGTAACATGATGTAAATGGAACGAGGCTTGAATTGAACATTTCATTTCCTGCAGGTTAGATAGGGGTGTGTCATGTTCTGTGATTGCACTTGAAGTAGTTTCCAAGCTTCTATTGAACTCCTCCCAAAATCAATGTTGAAGTAGAGTTTGTGTTTCGCAATAAATTAAACTCTTAGTTGCCGCTTTTGCTTCTCCTGGGTCCGCACCTCCAACAGGTCTCCGAAGTGGCTTTTGATTTAGAAAAGGTGGCAGGTGGTGACCTGGCAGCTTTCGGGTGCTACTTCGGGTGCCAGGGGAATGATTTCGTGGTCGCTCCTTCGCTACTGCCAGTGTGGCAAGAGTCGCTCCTGCCGTTCGACACCGGTGTCCCACACCGGTCGACAGAACACAGAGAAGCCCGCGGCTCCAAAGAATTCAGCGACACTGTTCGGTATACCGTGTTTTCAGAGATGGCAATCCCCAGAAGGTTGATCATATGGAACTCCAGGAACTTGACCTAAAGGACATCTTGGGACTGCCAGGTAACCACTGTGTGTCATAAATTTTACGAAACCACTCGAGTTGTGGAGGAACAGGAGACCGAAGTCCGAACCGAGCGAGATGTCATAAACACGTCACGTGTGTCTTATGATGTGCCCACTTTCATGAAGTTCTTTTCAGACAGACCCAACAAGGACCTAACCCTTAGCTAAAATAGAGCGCGTCAAAGCCTAAGACGACATGGTCCGGATCCAAACAAATTTGACGGGCCTGGATTGTTCAATCGAGCCAACAAAAAGATTGACGACAAACAAATTCAACAGTGGAGCAAGTGATATGACACGAGCGTCAAATAAACACGTGGGAAACGTACGTGGGAAACGTACGTAGCCAAAAACAAGTGACGCCTGCCACAACTGCAAGTGAAAACAACCTTGAGAACGATGTGTGTGGTCAACAGCTAAAGCAAACAACCGTTGTTAACCCCTGCCCACCATTTCAGGACAAGGGGTTGGAGAAGTATTGTTTTCACACAGCTGTTTGGTGTTCTGGCCCATGACCTGGCAAGCAGGACAAAACCAACGAACCGTGCCTTTGTACCAGAGGCCGCATGTGCTCCAGACACCGCGCAAAGGAGCAGGGGTGCAAGCAGTTGTTCCACGTAGCCGTCCTGAGAGTGCTACAACTGGTTGGTGGGATCAAGCTTCACAAGTAAAGGTTCTGAAACAATCACCCAGTACAAGAACCGGGGGAAGGTCAAATCGCTGGCATCCAGGTCCCAAAGTTGCTTTCACTTCGGTCGGAATCTGCGGAGGGTTCCTGGATTCATTCATTTCCTAGGAAAAGTGAGCAAAAGTCGACCAGAAGCTGAGGTTGGCTTAGATCATCCACACTGAGATCAACCGGTTTTGTTGTTGCGATGCCGCGACGCAAGTTCAACGATTCTGTGGGCGACGTGACAAACTCAAGTGACGAATGAGCCTTGTTCTATTTACAGTCATCCAGAAAGTAGTGTAGATAGAGCTTTGATCATTTCAAGGACCAAAGCAACATATTCGTGGAATGCTCCACAGTGCATCCACAGTGCATCTGCTGCAGGACCAGCTTCCTACATGAGTGAACACAGTCTGTCTTTATTTCGTGACCAAAACAAAGCGTACCTTTTTTGTGTATTCCTGGACAGAGAAGAATCAACAGTCCTGATTCATTGTATACTATACATCTGCTTTGGAAAAATGATTGAGGGTCAAAAAGCAGAAGCAAAGCCAAGGACATTTTGATTGACCCCTAGCCCTGGAGACAGGTGACAGGGTTTGTCAGCAAATACGAAGCCACAGGCTGTGCTCCAGCAGAACATGGACGAGCCAATCCTTTGGCAACGTACTTTTTGCTCAGAACATATCCTTCAAATTCACTCAAATAGATAGTTCTGACTAATTAAAGCAGCTTGGACGGCCTCCCCTGCTGCAGCTTGAGCTGGACGCCTCTCCTATCAAACGCCAGGAGACGTGACCAAAGGGCGCCAGTGAGCACGTTAGCTCATCGTCTCACTGTCATCTGCCCATCACCATGGCAGGTTGGCCTCAAACGCCCTGAGTTGCTATGGGTGGCACATCGGTTGTTTCTCCTCCCATGAAGTCACTGCCTCGAGGGAAGGACACCAACACAACCATGAAAGTCCACACAAACATAGCAACTCCTCATTAGCTGCGCCCCACACCCGGCCAACGGTGTGAGAGTGCCACGGGGCTGCAAACAGCTTGCAATCCCCAGTGAGCGGCACCCTTTGGGTAAGGCATGGAGAAAGTTGTGCACTAAGTAGTCTAGGTCAAAACACCGGCCTCTCTTCTTTTCATTGCCCAAGAGGCTTACCAGCTTCATGTGGGCGACGTGATTTTTTCAAGTGACGGATGAGCCTCGTACTATTTACGGTCCCAGTCTCCACATGGGCTCTTCGCATCTCATGCAATTCCCGTTGAAGGACCTCGCGGATGTAGAAGAGCTGCTCAGACACTGACCGCAAAGAGCGCAGCTTCCTGTCCGGTGTCGACTGAGTCATGAGGTCGTCCGGTGTCTCGTTCGGTTGATTGGACGATCCGTTGGACGATCGATGATCCACTGCATCTCAGGTGGGTGATCTTTGTAAATCCAAAAGTACGGTGACCTCCCAGGCCGTGACCTTGTGGGCTCGATTCGGGGCATCGACCCGTAAACACCCTCGTCTCCAAGAAAATAATTCTCCAGACTTCGACTTTCACACCCCATCTTCCAGACCTGTGGACATATGCCGAAGGGTTTGTTTGGAGATTGCCAGACCACCTTGATTCGATATCCATCTTTTTAATTCTTTTTATCAGCCTCATATGGAGCGATCGGACCGGTCTGGGGTCTCACATCCCTAGGTTTCCAGGGTCCAGTCGCGCTGTTTGAAGGGTTTGGCATGATACCAATGGTACCTTCCTTAAGAGTGTCGAAGGTGGCGAACGAAGGATCTGGCCTCTGAACATCACCCCAGACTTAGATACCACACGAGACCCGATTTGTTACAGCGTTGCAGTGGGTATATATAGTTATACTTATATATTTGTACATCTATACAATTACATACTGTATATTGGACTACATGTCAGAGTTCTGGCTGCTCCGTCTCCCCTGAGCTCTTGCATTTCACCCTGGGAGATTGTTTAGCATTCTGAGGATGCTCTCTGCCACCATTTGCGATGTTGGAAGGCCTTCCGGAGCATTCCGGTCAAGGAATGTGGAATTTGTGTTCTGAATCTTTCAGAACTGTGTTGATCTGTGCATTGGATGGCCTTCTGTAGCTTGTCAGTGCTTTTGTCACCCAAGAATGAAAGGAGATCACCCAGCGGGGTTGGAGATAGCTTGAATCCATTTGCAAATCTTCTGAAGCTACTTATGATTCCCAAGTGCAACTCAGAAATCACACACAATCACGCACCAAGTGCATGAGACATTACAGTGAACAATCTGTAGCTCAAGAGATTCCGTTCCAAGAAACACAGCACCACAATTTCAAACTATATGGAGCGGTGGAAGGACAAGGAGAACGTCAACTCAATGCCATTAACACAAGAATATTCATTATTGTCGAGTGTAGTAAGTTCATGTGTAAAAAAACCAGTGAATTCTACTTCCATGATCTCCATGTAGCTTCATCTTCCGAAGCGAGCTCGTTGACTGAAATTGGCTTGGTGAAGTGTAGCAAAGGTCAGGTGACAAGCGGATCCCAGAAGTAGTAGGGTCTTGTAAGAGAATTGGTGCATGCGACATCATCACTCTTGTGAGAGCTGTCTAACCAATGCCGGCAATGGGCGGATCCGGATCCTGACAAGGATGCAGCTTGTGAAGCATGTGAAACATTGCTTGGCTCAATCAGTGTGTTCGGAATTGTAGTGTCAACTGTGGTGTTGCCATGAATCCGTCGTCGTGGCGCTGAAGTTGAATTGGACACATTATCTGCTTGATCTAAGATCTCCTGCACCCAAGGCCAAGGGCGGCCAGGTACGGTGGCATTTTTTACACCACAATTGGACCACAATCGACCAAATTGTTCTGGTTGTGTTCCAAATAAAGCCGTGGCCGGCTTTATGATTTAACGAAGCGAAGTGCTTCATCTAATCTGCAGGCTTGCTCACCGGGTGTGTCGAAACTTTGAGACGCGCATTCTTGCTACGTTCGTAACAAAATGTATATAACAAAGGGCATCGCTACGAACGGAGCAAGGACGCTACTATATAGGGGCGCTCCTGGCCTTACTACTGTACTAGTAAAATGTATCAACATGTTGAGTTTTTCTACCGTGCTTCGTACACAGCCACGCCAGAAGCATATGTTATGTTTCTCTTCTTGGCAACACGTGGCCCTCTTGCGCTCGGAAGCGCTCAGAATTTCAACGTTGTCAGTATGTTGTCAGCATGTTCTCTACGTGGAGTTTTCGGGTGCTGTCTCAGTGTTGGCCACATCTTTTCTGTTCCACGATTTTTCATGTGGTGCTGCCAAACAAAAGTGACCATGCAAGCGAGATTTACTCATTGGAGATTAGGGGGTACCAATGTGGACACATTTTGCAAGAGTTTCCAATGCTGCGGGCAGTGCTTGACACTCCCAAGTAATGTGATGGTGGGTTGGTATTCCACCGCAAGCACATTTAATCCCAGAAACCAAACAATGACCTTTCATGACCTTTCCAATTCCATTCACAAGGGACAACCAGTTGATTTTGCTAGCAAGCATACCATTCCCCTATATTCCAAACACTCCATGTATGGCATATTTACACACATTGGGGTGGTTGAAAAGGGGTCAATGTAGGCATAGGCGCCGTACTGCGATCCTCCCCGAAGGGGTCGGAGTCAAGCCGGGTTCCGCGTTCCACGTGTGAGAAGACCGAGAGTCTGGAAGAATTGAAGCCATTTGTCAGCGTCCCAGTTGGAGCTGCAGCTAACATAACCTCTGAAACATCTGGCCGCACCGAAGAGTCTGAAGAGCGCAAGCGCTCTTCAAAGCGTGGAACACAATAACGTCGTGGGGGAAACAAAGATCATAGCCCTGAATGCAGTCTGTTTCGCTTGCTTCATATAAACGATACAGAGAAATAGACCGCATAGACCGTAATATGCGGATGACTTTGCGGATGACCCCATGCATGCAAAGCTGCTGACCCAATGCAGAAACAACAAATCCCCGGATCGACTGTGACCCCAAAAAGCGTCTGGATAGGGTTCGTCTACGGCATACCCCGGCGCCGCAACGTTCGACAAAGCTCGCTGCAGCAACCAGCACCGCCGGTGAAAGAGAGCCCCCAGTGAGGGGCTGGGGTCTGCCGTAGTCCAAACCGATTCCCAATCGCCCAGCGACGAGCTCCATCCCAAGCCACGACCAAGCGACCTGACTCTGCCTTGCTCTTCACAAGCTTGTTGATCTCTTTTATAATCCGATTTTTTCGGCTCAAGGCCTGCTTCATGACCACTTTCCTGTGCGGAGCTTTATTTGGGTGGCTTGAAGATATTCATCGGCGGGAACAACAAAGTGTTCCAAAGAACTGGTCCAAGTGCAATAATTCACCAATGCAGGAAGTACGACTGCGTCCACCAATACCAATGAGACCTGTGAGGAAACATGAGAGCAGGTTTCAATGCCCGGAATGATGTGGTACGAATCAACACGACCCCAGGGAATAAAGTGATGTTGGTGGACACCCACGTCACAATTCCATAAAGGCCTGTGACCCATGCAATATTGGCCGCCCCTAAGAAACCCTCCAGAAACGCTAGAGCCACTGAGACTCACCACATGCTCTCGCTGCACATAGACCCCAATATGTCCTTGGAGTTGGACAAGTGCTTTGTCAGGACTGCCAGGAATAAAGAGCAATGTTGAAGAGGGAAGAACTGGGAAGACAAATGCAAACAACAAACAACCATGTCAAAGATTGTCAAAGGACACCTCAAGGAACCTTTGAATGGATCTTTGCTGCAAAAGTTATCCAAGTCTCCCTATCCTGGGAATATCCTGGATCTTCTCAGTGACCCGTTGATCCCCTGGTTTGAGGTCACAAAAGGGCCTTTTTTCAGGTCAATCGTCGGACATCTGAAGGAATTCGAACCTAATAGCGATGGCCTCCGACCACCTAAGAGCAATGGCCTCCAGCCTAGTAGCAATGGCCTTTAACCAAAGAGCGATGGCCTCCAACATAGTAGCGATGGCCTCCGACCACCTAAGAGCAATGGCCTCCAGCCTAGTAGCAATGGCCTTTAAC